AATAATAATAATAATAATAATAATAATAATAATAATAATAATAATAATAGTAATAATAATAATAATAATAATAACATTTAAAAAAGAAGAATTTAAGAAATTATTCGAATTAGTGGAAATATTGTTTAAATGTTCTAAAGGGACGCCTTGTATCGTAAAAATCGCAATATTAGCAGCATTACTAAGTATTTTAAAAAATCCATGTCCCCATTTAGCCCACTCCTTTCTAGACCTACTTGCGGAAATAAAATTTGCATGTGTGTTATAATTTTGTAATCGTTACTTATATGTGCTAAACGTTCTTTCGTGCTAAAACTATTTCCTCTAATTGAATAATAACATGTAATAATTTCTATGAAATAATTCATTTCTCACTTTTGCTACAACTTACACGAGACTAGCGCAACCACTCCTTTTTTGCGTTTATATATTATTATTGTTTTTATTATTATTATTTTTTTTTTTTTGGTCTTCATCATCCCTAGTAGAGTTTGTACTTTTCTTTCTGCGGCTAGGATTATTGTTCACATTCATATTCAATTACATTAGAGCAAAAAAAAAAAAAAAAAAACGCATAGCATCGCTGATTTATTGACAGTTGGCAAACAGTCTAATTTAATGAAACACCCTGACCTGGGTAATAAAGTGACAGATATTGTCTATGACATCAATTAGAATTCCACAAGAGGGCAGACAGGCACAGTGTTTGGAATTCGAATAAAAATTATTTTAATAAATTTTAATCGAATTAATTTTTAATAGATATGTTAGATATTTTTTATGCAATCTTTTATTAAAATTACATTATATGCACACAATCACAATTAATTTTTAATTAAATTGTTTTATCAAAATCATAACTTGCCATGTAATAGCATCCAATTTAAACTAATTATTAGGTAAGACCTATTATAGGTTGAAGTAGTTGTAATTAACATAGTATTGTTTGAGAGATTTATTTTTACACGTTTTAAATTAATTATACTTTTACGAGTTCTTATTACTTTGACTCTAGAGAGCCATAAAATTGAATAATATCATTCAAATGCTATTGCAGTATGTCTGACTACTTTTATGAAAATAAGTAGACAGAAAAGCCTGAATTTCTTTAAAAAAAAAAGAAAAATAAATAAATAAATAAATAAATAATAATAATAATAATAATAATAATAATAATAATAATAATAATAATAATAATAATAATAATAATAATAATAATTATAATAACAATAATAATAATAATAAATAAATAAATGAATATAAATTAAACATTACGTTTCAGGATGCTCTTCAAAAAAGCTTGTCTGAAGCGTTATTAAATTTTTGCTCTTTATAATATTTTTGGACAGACAATCACTTAGGCTTGGGTGGTAAGGAGACTACAAAGTCTACCATGATGACTTCTCCTAACAAATATCATTGCTAAAGAGTGCATTTTATAACTTTGTTAAGACTTAAATATAAAAACTAACCTAATTAGACAGACGTAGCACAGTTTATATGTCATTTATATCAATTTCTGATGAAGTATATATGGGAGCTATAACTATATCTAAACCGATTTGTACAAAGTTTGGCAAAGGTATTTCTAAGCTCTAGAGACAGCTTTGAGAATATATGTATGGCTATATCTGAAAATTTTATTAACCTTCTCCTACCCTGAATTGGATAGTATGTACCAAAATCTATTTAATTTTTAAATAAAGGTGAAATCGATGAGAGCTATAACCGAATATAAACCAGTTTACGCCAATTTCATTTCAGTTTTTATCCATGGGCCAAACAATAAATCCTGTTTACTAATATACATGGACAGACGAACTTGCATAAATCAACTTACAAGAGGAACTAAAACACACAGATGTAATACCCCGTACCACGGTATAGCATAGGTGTGTGGTATCTTGGATTCTGGTTTGACCAAATCAAAAAAAAAAAATACGAGAATGTTGGAGTAGATGTAATTAATTTGACGAAGCCCATAAATTGGATTTCCATTCAAAATGTTGCCATTTTGTGGAAAAGGAGTGCAAAATTGTGATACAAGTATTACAGTGAATGACGTTTAAACTATGTCGGCTATTCACTTCTTTCTCACTTTTTTTTCGAAAATCTTGAACATTTGTGGGAAAGGTACTAGAAGAAGTGAACCGCTGTAATTCAATTTAACCCCAAATCTCTTATTGATATTTGCGGAGTTGTCGATTATGCACCTGATCTAAGTGTGATATAAATATTATTATTTGAAAAGTTTCAAAAAAATTGGATACTACTAACTAATATTTGTACCCTTAGGCTACCTTCATGACAACATTGAATGTATACCATTTGATACCGCCAAAATGAGTCTTTTCGAATAACGGGCCCTTGTTCTCTTTAGACGAAATCCATTTCAGGACATTTGGAGTCGATCTAATCTTATGCACACTTTAAATTCTGAGTGGACAGTAAATTCCTCCAAACTTGGCATATTGTAATTTAATTTTCAAACTTAAATCGAGTTCACAAAGTTGATCAACTCCTTCTCCTCCTCCTTCATCCATTAAGGTTTAAATCTTATAAAATATGAAAGAAATTCGCCTATATTAATATTTCACCAGCTTTAGATCTGACATGAAGATAGGATGGAACGGATCACTCTTTCTCGTACCTCCTCCAAAACGGTTCAATTAATACAAAAAAAAAATGAAAAATTATAACAAAGTCAAAATCTCCCTTTTTAATTCGCATTTTGGGTAAACTGTCAAAGAAAGATTTTTTCGCTATAGAATTTCATTGTGAGTCTCTAAACATAATATGTACCAAGAAAAAATAATTAATTTGTTTTATAAAAAAAATATTTTCGACAAATGAAGAACTTCGCTGCTAATTTTCTAACTTCACTGTCTAATAACGTTTCTGAAAATTGTGAAAATTCCAAGATAATTTGGAAGCACTAGGTTTGTAGATCAAAACCATGAAAAAATGTCAGATTCTTAACCAAAAATATTTTTAGTCCTTGACAATATATATATATATATATATATATATATATATATATATATTGTTATTTCTGTCCTCCGCAGCCGTAATATGCACTCTGTAACAACAATATTTGGAGAAATGCATCAAATACAGCTCAGAAATATCTTTGCCAAGTTTTATCGAGATCGGTTCAGATTTGAATATACCTACCATATATAACTTCGTCCTATTTACCTTTTATTGTGCACCAAACGTCTAATATTTGCCCAAATGGGCACTTACGACCGAATTGAGTCTAGAAGCAAGTATGTCAAATTTGGTGAGGATCGGTCCAGATATAGCTATAGCTCCCATATATACTGTTCATCCGATTTTTTATATTTGTTACCCACAGCCGTAATATGCACTCCGTAACAACGATATTCAGGGAAATATATCAAATACAGATCAGAAATATCTTTGCCAAATTTTATCGAGATCGGTTCAGATTTGAATATAGCTCCCATATATGTATTTTGCCGATTTCAAATTAATTGTGCACCAAATGGGCAATACAAGTCCGAATTTAAAAGATACAAATGCTTCTGCATATTTAGTCCTTTAAATTATAATCATAGCGTGTATGATTGATTTCTCCCATAAAAACTTTTAATTGTAATGTGGAGCTCTACTAAATTTGCAAAGTGGTGTAGGGTATCATAAAGTCGGCCCGCCCGACTTTAGGACTGTCTTTACTGGTTTCCAATCGATTTGGCTGAAATTTTTGTATTTCGCAGAATAGAGAAGAGTAAATGAATAGGTGAAATCAGCGTATCATATAGAACTACTTTCAATAAATGACTCCCTGATGAACTCCAAATTTCTTGGATCGATTTGGTGACTACTTAAATCTTGATGTGTGTAATTTCTAATTATTATTTTTTTTAGATTTGTTGATTGCAAATAATATAGGATTTGGCCAGTTAGATCGAAGATAATATTACTAGATTTGTCAACTTGGATTTTTACTTTGAAATTTCATATGTAGCTATAATAGATGGAAATGGTAGAGATGGGAATTTTTGTGTTTTTGTTCACAAAAATTGTGGTCCATTTCACCCTCTAACCATCCAAATTGGTAGGCTGCTGCCCAGCCCTAAACTTTATTCCCATGAACAACATTCCGTTCCAACAATTTAAACAGACGAACCAGCGGTTACACATATCTAGATCGACTCAGCTAGGCGAGATAAGAAGATCCATATGTAACATCCTATGTCCAGGACCAATATTTCGAGGTGTTACAAACTGTTTGGCCCAAACTAATAATACGTCCAACACATAGTGTTGTGGGGTATAAAATGTCAACACTAACCGAAATCTTGTTTTCATTCAACGTCTAATTTTGTAATTTTAAACACTGTTGGTTATGTTCTAACACATGTTCGAGTTAGGAACGGGGTGTGGAAGTCGGAGGTCATAGGCAGGCAATCAATCTCCACATTTGTTGCTGCTAGCAGATGAACACAGATACAATCGTGCGATTATTATAACGTAATAGAACAAACTCGGTGACTTAACACGCACAACACGCTCTTCAAATATGTATGCTAAAGCGACTTGAGCTAGCCTGAGATGATATCATTCTCCAAGGTGATACACAAGACATGTTTAAACCAGTAGCCAAACACGCTGGGTAGTGTTGTTGGGAACATTTGATATCAAACTGTGGGCAGAGACGACGTCAACACCAACTACATCATCACCGTCATCATGACGGCGGTCATCATTATCTTCATCGTCATCACCGGTAACATCATTTGTCATTATTGTCATTGTCATTAGCATAGAAACCCTAGAAGGGAAATGGAAATTCCACGGCAAAGGTATTTGTAAAAAACCACAAAAACTGACGAGAGAAAGTTCAAACTGGTTTGCAAATTCCAAATCAAAGTTGAGGATTGTAAAGTAGATCGTTTCAAGGTAGTTACTAGTAGGTCTATTCCCCAACCACAGATGGAAAGCAACAACAACGACAATCGAAAATAGAAACTTACGGCCCATAGCGTGTTGAATATTAGCAGGACACATTTGATGGTTCTGGTTGCACAACCCATGATTCTTTGGTTCGGAGTTTCGTGTGTTTGGTTTGAGGGTATTCAAAATTTAAATTTTTGAGTAATTATTCGACGGAATAATTAAACAAATTAGCTGTGTTCTCCGGTGTTCGAAACGCACAACACGAACTTTTATGTCGAAACTTCTTTTGTAATGCCGCGATGTTTCAAACACTCAATGAAATCACGAACGAAAGGCGCGAAAGAACGCAACGTAACGCTGTGTGACGGCAAAAACGAGAAAATAGACAACTGTCAAGGGCCACGGCCGCGAATGAACTAAACAACAAAACACAAACGTTGTTAATATTTGCATTTGCTCTGCGAAAACACACAGCCGGAGATGGAAGAGCAAAGCGAAAAAAAAAACAGAAACAAAATAAACAGAATGTAAACAGAAAACAATAGTACACAAACAACAACAACAGCACACTGGCAATTGAAAGCTTTGAACGCTCAGTAGAACCGACATACCTACCTACAAACATACATAAGTGTTCACTCGGTTAGATGGATGGATGGGTAGGGGATATGTGACCGGGCGATGTTCTCAGCCACATTAACATACTCGCAAAGATGACAGACGACGAACGGACGAACGCTTCCAGTTCAAACGGTCGGTGCCCAATTTTGTTTAACTCTCTCGCCCAAAACTGAAATCTGTAAACACCGCAAGTGAGTGAGCGAACGAGCGAGCGAGTTCACAGCAACAGCTGCCAGTTCTGATGCCACTGGTGGTTGGTGTTGTTGTTGGTGGGTTGTTAACGAATTAGAAATCCATGGCAGAGCGCAAAGCTACAATCTGTAGAATACTTGAACGCCAGCCAACAAATGGATCTCGTCGATGTTGTTCTTGTTGGGGGGAGTTATTAGAGCGTTTACAAAACAAACACAGCAAACATACCAACACATTGTCTCCCCCAATTTGAATTTGAATTGAAAATCAATTTCGGAACTTGTTGCTGGCTCCGAATATATAAAGAATAGAAAATGTGTTCCGATCGTTAAACCAACCACAAAAATGATAATCTCTGAAAAGAAAACAACATTTGCGGAAACGAAACAACATGGAAAAACAATAAAAACAAATTGTTTCTCGTTTGGTTCTTTTGGTTGTAATATTTGATGTCAGCGTGTCGATTTTGGAACTTGTTTGGCTACAACATCTACTGGATCTATGGATAAACAGATTTGTGGCCTCAATCTCGACAAATATATTTACATTTTTATCTTTGTCTAGGTCTTAAATTTAAAACATTTTTTTATGATTTCAATATCATCTTCTCCATGAGCCGTCCGGTCCAGTTTGCGATTTTACCGAACATCGACCGAATTCACGTTGATTCTCTTCGCCAAGATAGACGTCATCATTTGTTTGTTCAAATAAATGCCTCGTTGGTACAACGTGTTACCAAATGTGGCAAAAATCTTACCCCCTCTTGAAAAGAAGCGCGTTTTACTCCCTCCACCATAAAATGGGTGTTATGTGGCTTTCTCATTCCTTCGCAACACCTTGAAATATTTTTCGATACATATATGTATATTCATGTCTAGCATAAAATTCTTAATCTATTTAACGATGTACGTCATTTTGGTAAAATCTATATAGAGGTCGCAATATAAAACATAAATTAAATCAATAAAAAGCAAGAAAGTACGACCAGACCGAACTCTTAATACCCTCTACCATTTGGAAGAAACTTGCAAAATGTGAAAACATTTCGTTGCCTACAAAACTATCAAAACATCGAATAACGGGTAAAAAATTAGAGGGTAAGCGAGTATTGCCAATTATTTAGCAGAGAAGGATTATGGCGAAGCCAAAATACCGATTTTGAGATAATTCCGTTGAAAAATCTATATAAGACAAAGGTGTTTTTATACCCTCCACCATACATAGTCATTCCGTCATTCCGTTTGTAACTCATCGAAATAATATTTTTTTTTGCAGTAGTATATTCTTGATCAGCGTGAAATTGAAAGGAGTTTTTTATGAGCAATTTACTGAGAATTGTGAGCACCTGAAAGAGAATTGTCTATATAGGTCCACGATATCGTATACTTCCATATAACAGCACCTCCCGATATTCGGTATTTTGATAATTTTAGCCACACTTTTCAACGGAACTGTCTGAAAATTCACACAAGGAGTTCCTTGTGAGTACTCTACCCCCTAGATGAAAACTATCTATATAGGTCTACGATAGCGTATAGCCACCATATAAAGGTACCCCCCGATATTCGGTATTTTGATAATTTTAAGCACATTTTTCAATGGAATAGTCTGAACGGAAGAAAAAAGTAAATATATCCTCCATTCGATGAGGGTATAAAAACGGATGCAGGTCCCTTGAACCAAATCCGTTTCAGGACATTTGGAGTCAATCTAGGGGTGTTTGTCCGTCCGTTTGTCTGGCTGGTGCGCACGATAACTCTTGAAGGGATTATACGTTATGATCCAAACTCGTTACATCGTAATATTATTGTCAAACTTAGATCGAGTTCGGAGATGGGAAACATCAGTTCACTCCTTCTGCTAACTCCCCCTCAAAAGGTCAAAATTTTCACAGAAAATAATTCAGCGTATAGAACAAGAAAAACATCATCAAATTTTGAGCAAAATTTTCAAATTCCCATTTTTTTGCATTAGTTTTACATCAGGTGCGAAAATGGACAATATTGGTCAACTCTATTAAATACCTCCAACATAAATGGCAAAATTTGAAATAACAAGTTTAATAGTATCATTCGGTCTTGTCGACACATGTATACCCCAAGCCTTGCGTTATAATAATTCAAACTATTGACTCTTTATGGGGAAAGTTCCGAAGAAGAGTTCATTATTGTACATTTCGTATCTGACCTAAGTATGATATAAATTTTACACCGAGCCAGATTAAGGCTATATCACATTTTATGAGATATGTGATAATTTTTGGAAAATATTGAAAAGCCCGCCTTACAATGGACCGAATTATTTCACCTCAAATCGAACATTTGTTTCCAATTTTATGCGAATAAATGAAAATCAAAATGTTCAACTTTTGTGGGGAAGGTACATTAGATCCCAGGTTGAAAGGGATATTTAGATATACGAATCTTGAACAGAGTCACTGACATATTTCGGAAGTTGTTTAATATACAGTGTGAGATCAAAAAAACTGCAACCAAGTCAAAAGGCATATTTTTTACATTTTTTTTAATGTTATTGAATGAAAGCAAAAAATGTTGGAAACACCCTCAAATTTTGAAATAAATTTAGATTTGCTCAAATTGGTCACCTTTGGCACGAATTATTACCTTCAAACGGCCAATGAAACCGTCACACGCTGCCCGAATATAGCTCTGCGGTATTATGGCCATTCCCGGCGAAGCGCTTGCTTGTGCATTCCAGACACAATAGCCCAACGGATTGGTATCCGGAGATTTTGGTGTCCATTGTGCACTGGAAATGAAGCGAGGAATCTCATTTTGTAACCATTCTTGGGTGGCGCGTGCTGAGTGCGATGGTGCTGATTCCTGTTGGAATATCTGAGGTCTGCGGCCAAAATTTTTGCGTGCCCAAAGCTTTAATACACCCTCCAGAATATTTTCGCGATAATATTCGGCATTTATTCTGATGCCATGGTCGATTAATACGAGCGGAGAGCGACCATCGGCTGTTATGGCGGTCCACACTATCACCATGGCCGGCACCTGAGTTCTGGTGGCCAACCGAAGGTGCACATTTTCAGCTGACCTCTTTGGCAAGTAAACACGATAATTTTGTTTGTTTACAAACTGCTGGACAACGAATGTTTTCTAATCGAAGAAAACCAAATTTGGCAGTTCATCACTGTCGGCCGAGCGAGTCAACTCTTTACCTCTTTTGAGTCTATTTTCTTTCTGTTGCGGTGTAAGTTCTTGCACTTTTTGGAATTTCAATGGCTTTACCCCGAGCTCATTTTTCAATATTTGCCGAATGGAATGTTGCGATATGTTCGGTCGGACGAGTTGCTTAGAAATGACAGCAGTCTGAACTTGGTTGTAGTTTTTTCATCTCACCCTGTATAAATACTGACAATTGTGACCATTTGTGGAGGAGGTACCAGAAGGGGTTGACCGATATCTTCACACCAGATCTTGTGTTAGTAGAATATTGGATGTGCGGAGTTTGAAGAGAATTGGGTCCTTATTCATATATTGTGACATATATAATTGTTCAAAATGTTGACCCTTTGTGGCGGAGGTACCATAAGGAATAGGCAGATATATCCCATCTACATACTGCAACTTGTGTTGATTGAAGTATTCGAATGTGCCACGTTCGAAAAGAATCCGATGCTCATTTCGCCTTTTAAGAGCATCATGGTTATTCAAAAATTTTGACCCGTTGTTGAAAAGGGACTTTATGGACTTTTGAATCCATAGTTTTTTTAAATTTTATAATTTTTGTAAGTAGCAGGCCTTTCTGCCTGGAATGCACAGCAGCTGTTGCTAAGTTTGTAAGATTTCCGGATATTAAGGATATCACAGGAGACCCCAGCATCTGTCCCACATAACCGTCAGAATAGACAGCTATACCGAATAAAGGTGGATTGTTACTGGTCAAGTATGTTGATGTCAAGAGATTCTAAGTTCCATCGTGGTGATATGTAGTCACTAGTATCAGTGCTGTTTCATACATTTGAGCCAACTTCATATTTAACAAATAAAAAAGCATTTATGGGGACAGTTTTATGTAGTACCCATTATGAACTTCAAATACGAAATTTGAAACAGTTCCAGTGAATAATTTTGCTAAAATCATTAAAATATCGAATATCGAGAAGTGCCGTTTTTTGGGGGTAACGTGAACCTGCATATGAAATTTTTGGTCATTTTTTGGCTGTGTTAAATACGAAATTTGTAACAATTACGGTGAATAATGTCGCAAAAATCATGAAAATACCGAGTATGGGGAGGTACGTCATATGGGGGCTATACAAAGACGTAGATCTGCATACGAAATTTGTCCTAGATTGTAGCACCTATTAAGATCTTCCAATACGAAATTTGAAACGATTCCGGTGAATAATATTACTGAAATCATCAATATACCGAATGTAGGGATGTACCGCTATATGGGTGTTATACGAGGACGTGTAATAATTCCGGTAAATAATGTCGCAAAAATCAAGAAAATGCCGAGTATCGGGGCTAACGTTATATGGAGGCTGTACGAAAACTTGGACCGACATGGCTTATTTGCTAACTTAACCTATCCACTGATAAACTATGCCTCTATGCAAAATTTTAGCCTTCGATCTCAAT